TGGCTCCTTCATCTTTTAAACCGGAAGAGATCTTGAGAGAATTGAACCCAGCCTTCTTCATTCCAGGCCAACACCCCTACCTGGCGATGCAGTGGTCCTCTACACATATCTTTCAGTCATTAATTAAAACAATTAAGATCCCATTGTGAGGGCAAAATGGTTTTGGGTTTTCTTTGTTTGTTTTTGTTTTTGTTTTGTTTTGTTTGAAACACTGTTTCAAGACAGGGTTTCTCAGTGGCTATGGAACCAGTCTCAGAACTTGATCTGTAGACCAGGCTGGCCTCGAACTCAAAGAGATCTGCCTTCCTTCTGAGTGCTGCGCTTAAAGGCGTGCGCCACCACCACCTGGCAAAAATGATATTTTTTCAAGTTTGCTTATCTCATTTTCATTTTTTTGTGCATGCACGCTAGCTCTCCCCTTCAACCACAAGGATTCTGAGGCTCAAACTCGGGTCATCAGGCTAGTGACGGGTACCTTTAACTGCTGAGCCATTCCACCTGCACCCAAATAACAATTTTTAATGAGTTCCGTACATCTCACTGAAGAGAATGGGAGGCTATGTCTCATAGAGATCATAACCGTTTGCTGTGAAATCTGAGCCACTCTAGTGAACCTTAACTCAGAGAAAAGGGTCCCAGAAACCGGAAAGCGCTTGGGTCTTGAGAGGCTTTGAGTGTTTTCAAGGTTTCTGATTGCTGTACCCATTGGCAAAGGCAAAGAAAAAATAAAATACCATTCAGAAAGTCTAATCAAGGACAGGAGCATCTGCCTGCAACAGGTAAACACAATAGGCTGGTTCATGGCTGCCCCTCTTCCTGACTGTCTGTGCCCCGATCTATCAGGTGTTAATTGCTTTGAGTAGTTACAGACTATCAACGTCCAGACCCTTGCTGGTGTATATACAGGCATGTGTCAATCAGCAGCTTCTCGGCGTCCATCTGTAAAAACCAGAGTGTGCTTTGCCTTCACCTCCAGCAGAGCAGAGACTGTCGCAGCAGTTAGCTCATGTCCCTCGTTCTTAGCATCCTTTCCTCAAAACCAGGTGCTTCGTGACTTTTGCATTGCCCTACAAAATCCCCTCAAGGGAAGAACAATTTTGCTTGAGCTCACAGCTTCACGGCACCATGGCAAGGAAGCCCCCGTGGTAAAAGAGCTCAAATCATGGTGGATGGCTTGGTATATTGCTGAGGCCACTCCTATCACAGTCGAGCAGGAAGCAGAACAAGAGACCCAGAGAGGGTGAGTATAACATTAAGGGGCTGACCCCCCACACACATTCTGAAGCACTTTTCTCAGTGAGGATCCACTTCTAAATGGTCCACAAGGCTCTGAAAACAGTGCCACTAGGAAGGGAACAAGGGTCAAAACAGGAAGCTCTGGGGGACACTTCAGCTTCAAACAATAACACTGGAGATATGAACAGTCCTCACCTAATTTCCGTATAAGCTTTATATTGATGTCAAATATTAAATATAAAAGTGTGTTGTAAGATACTTTAATAATTTCAATTCATAAAGCAATCATGACCGTGTGAAGTAGAGTATAAAGAAGATTAGGTTTTTTTTCTTGCTATCTAAAGCCAGAGCCTGCTAACACTTTATTTTCTTTGCCTCTGCCTGTTTATGAAGGCTCTGACAATCCAATAGTCGTTATTGAATGTCGCCAAAATGAAGTCAAAAGGGTGACTGCTCTTTTAGATTGGCCTAGTTGTGTGTGGCTTAATAAATGTTTTAGTGAGGTATAGATAAAAATCTAAAATAAAAAAAAAGTGAAAAGTTATACCATAAAGTACAATCACACATTTGCTTTTTTATGAGTGACAAATATTTTCCTTTTTAAGAGATACTTTTAAACCTAGGGTATGTCTGTAGGCTACAAACTCCCCTTGATTCTCGGGAAGACAACATTATATTGCCGCTATAAAATCTCAGCTACATATAAACAACTTGATGCTGTAACCATAAACGGGAATGGATTTGTCTTGTTTCCTAAGTCACTATGCTCACTCAACACCTGCCTCTCCCTTGGGGGTGGCCAGAGTAGCTACAGTTCACTGGGCCACTGGAGATATCCATAGTCTGTTTATGCACGCTAATGTCAAACCATCAGGCTTCTCAGGCCTGGTTGTTTTTCCTTTGACATGAAAATTTAGTGTGGTATCCATTCACCTTGCCAGGGGGAGGAGTCAGGCTTGGTGCTTGCCTTCTATGGCCGAAGGTAGCAGTTATTATTTCAAAGGACAGAGAGCCAGTCACATGCTTTCACCTATGGTGATGCTGGCCCCACCCCTCCATCGATCGCACTCACACACGGATCTATTTACTCCAGCTAAGCTGGGATCTTCTAGGGCATAGGGTTTTGCTTGTTTATTTAGTTTTGGTTTTTGTTTGTTTGGGTGCTGTGTGTGTGTGTGTGTGTGTGTGTGTGTGTGTGTGTGTGTGTGTGATAGGTCTTGTCCAGTCCATTTTTCTCCTAGCAAAGGACATGCTGAAATGCCTCAGTAACGCTTTTAAAAACCCTAGGTCTCCTTATCTCAAGTTCCAGTCCTCACGCGCGATAACCCAGCAATGTGCTTAGTAAAGTCTCTGGTCCTGTTCTGCAGTGTGAGCCCAAGATCCTGTGCTTTTAACATCTCAGCTGCTCAGCGACAATGGATGATAGATCCTCCACAACAAGGTAGTTATGGGAAGACGGGAGTTATTTTATGTAGAGTACTCAGTTCCTCCCCAGCCTTCAGGAAGTCCTCCTTACTATTATTGTTGTTACAGGTTGAGCAGCCCCAATATTAAAATGTCCTAAGTGAGACTGGAGAGACAGCTCAGTGATTAAGAGCACTTACTACTGTTGCGGAGGACCCGGGACCAGTTCCCAGCACCCACAAAGCGGATCACGATCATCTAGAACTGTAGTCTCAGGAAGCCCCACACCCTCTTCTGGCTTCCACAGCATCCCAGCACATGGTGCATATACCTGCTTGCAAACAAAACACTCACACAGAAAATAAAAATAAATACGTTTGAAAAAGTTCTCTAAGTACTCTAAAGTCATGTTGATGTTCAAAAAATGTTTCAATTTAGAGCATTTTCAAATTCCGGACTTAAGAATGCTCAACGGGCAATGCCATCTATGCCAAATTCCACACACACTCAACGTTTACTCTCTCTCTCTCTCTCTCTCTCTCTCTCTCTCTCTCTCTCTCTCTCTAAAGCCTGAAACTCTTCTGGTCTCAAGTGCTTTCAATGACTGATCTTCCGTCTCTGCGATCAGCACATCAGCCATAAGGAAGTGATTTAAAGTTACTGTCTGGTCTCAACCTGGGGTGTGCCTTTTAAAAAAATCATCTAGTGAGCTCACAAACACACACTGTGACTTTGTCACCCAGACATTCTGGTCTTTAACCAGATACCTGCGCTGCTGCTGTGTCCCAAAGGGGAAAATGGACCCTTAGCAGATGCACTATAAACCAGTGACTCCCTTATTCACATTCCAGACCAGCCCTCCAGGACACGAAATTTGTTTTTCAGACTAGGGAATCAGAGGAAGCTCATTTAGGGGATGAAAGCCAACTTCGGGGAGGGTCATTTGATAACATGGTAAGGGACCACAGGGAACTCTCTGGTTTCCTACTGTGTCTGTGTCAGGGGCCACACTGTCTATCTGGGGTTGGCTCACACGTGGTGAGGAAACAGCTGCCGGCTCTGCTGGCTGCCCTGGGTAAAATCCAGGGCTCTGCTCCAGCAGGCTTGGCTGGTTCCATGTCCTGATCTTCCCACCCCCACCCCCTCGCCAGAGGAGGCTTGGCCAGAACACTCTTCTTAACTCATCCTGCACTCTAACTGTTCCTCAACTAACTCAGTCCAGCTCCAGGGGCTGCTGAAGACACAGCCAGGATCCCTCGTCCCTTTATATAGAAAGTTTAGTGGTAACCACAGGTTTCTGGGGAGAACACCTGTGTATATACTTGGCAAACCCAAGAAGACTCCTTGCTGGGGCAAGAGCATCTGAGAATCCTTGTAGCACACGCATGTGCCCCGGGACTAGCCTGGCTCATCTGCCTGTGTCCTCTGCATACGATTTTGGGGTGCAAGCACTGAGCAAGGTCGCCTGACTCATCTGCCTGTGTCCTCTGCATAAGATTTTGGGGTGCAAGCACTGAGCAAGGTCCCCTGCTGAAATTCCTTCCAGAATTTCCAGCTGTGATTATGTCAATTAACCATAACAGATAGTTGATTCTCCCAGAACCTGATCGGGTTGGAATCCATTCATTAACAAAACGTTTATAGTTAGGAGACAGTCATTTCTATGAAGACAGCCAGGCCTTTGCCTTTTCTACAGAGGTTTTTCCTAGAAACTTGGGCCTAGCTACATTGGAATAAAGGAGAATTCACACTCTCTAAAAAGGGCTTTTCTTCAAGTTCCTGTAATTTTCTCCCTTGTTCTTTCCCAAACATGTATTTTCTCCCCAGTTGCCATTCCCTAAGTGCTCCATGGGATCAGACCTGTCTGATAGTCAAAGAACCTAGAAGCAGCCCAAGGCACCCAGCTCCCTGTGCAGATCTCATCCTCTGTGTTTCCAGAATTTTCTTGGGTGGATCCCATTGAAAACACCAGCCCTGTCTCAAGATTCCTTTCATACATCTGTCTCTTGGACTTCCCTTGGCTAACTAGACTATACGCCCATTTGGCATTTGGTCTGACAAGCTTGACAGAAGAACAAGACCGAAAAAAGAAAAAAAGGAAGGCACATCCCTATAAAGACCTGATATTCTGCTCTTAGGAGGAGGGGCACTAACAGAGGAAAACTGAGACATGTCAAAGGCATGGGATGTAGGGATGAGCCCATTTCGCCACACTCTAAAGGTGATGCTGGCTGTATAGTTTCATCCATGTCCAAGTTTATGTTGCACAAGTATCCTGGTCAAATGCTAGATCCACACTTGCCAACCAAGGACCTAGAAGAAGATAACCAGGTAAACATTTTCTACTTTATTTATTCAGGTTGAGATTCTTTTCTTGCTACAATGTATAATGTGATATCTACTGTCTCGTAAAATCTTTCAAGGAGATGAAAGGAGCAACCACTTCAAGACTCCCTGTGAGCCAGTGCTGTGAGGTGCTGCTGAAGAACCAGCCAGTACATCTCACCGGAGATGCAGGTAGAGCTGAAGCTTCCTGAACTCCCTGCACATCTTTTCAGGCTTCCCCTCCAACATCAGCAGCAGCCCACCTCCAAGTAGGTGATACCCTCAGCCCTGAAGCCCAGCTCAGGCTTCCCAGAGCATCCTGGGGCTCCTTGCTGGAGATGTCACAGCTCCACCTGCCAGTTCTCATTTCTTAGTACCAACAAGGCTGTTTGATCATGGGAAGCCATGCAGCCTGAGGTCGGCTTTACAAGTGGACGATATTTTAAAAATTCAGAGCAATTCAGCAGCCTCCCCAGCACCCTGTGGTCTAGCTCTGTATCTTCTCCTTCCCTTCCAGACAGGAAGTTCTCACAGCTGCTTTTCCACAGTTTTCCAAGCAAATGTGGTTTTGGAGTTGTTACAGTTCTTTGCTATGGAGCTGAGTGTGGTGGCTGTGGTGATTGGGGTTCAAATTCAAGTAAAATGTCATGATAATTCCTGAAAGAGAAATGTTATTGGAAAATAAAGCAAACACATGAGCACACCGTATTACAGAAATATCCATTTACTCTGAATTATTTAAACACTGTTCACTAATAACTTTGCCCTTAGGTTGCTTTTCAGGAAGGAACACTTGTTTCTGAGGAGGAATCTGAATGCTGTGTGCTTCCCCTTTATCTGTAGATTCCAAAATATTCCTTCTTGCTGTAACTGGATTGAGGATGCCAGCCACAGGTACCATCAGAAACCGTGCACACTCACATGAAATACGTTACATGATATCCATTGTGTTAACTACGTGTAGTAGATGGGTTGCTCCAATAAAGCAGAATAGAAGAATGTGTCTTCTGGCACAATGCTTGCTCTCTCTGGGTGATGTTGCTTTATTGGCAATCCAGGCTACTAGTGGAGATATTTGACATTGGGTGCGGGTGCACGTGTGTGTGTGTGTGTGTGTGTGTGTGTGTGTGTGTGTACTTACTATCTTCAGATATCGTATAACTCTGTCAGTCTTACTTAGAGGTATCTGTAAGGAAGGCTATGTGATCCATCCATACTCTTGGGCCTTTACCTTTGCTTATCCTGGATCTGTGATTTTCTGCAGAAGGTCCAGAGAAGAAAGAAGTTTATGCAAAACATTCCCTCCTCCACACTAGGCATCTCTCAGCTTCTAAAACATTCTCTACTTAGATGCTGTAAAAGATGGGAACTTTGAAGCAGCTTCATCCCAGACATCTTCGGGGGTGATTCAACCTAAAAGTCCGCAGCATTCGGGCACTGTTTCCTCTGAACACTCCATATGATCCTTGATCCTGTCAAGGACAGTGTCTTTAGCCAAGGTCAGCCGAGCTAAAACGGTATAGACAACATTGTCCAAGCACAGGTCCTCCCCCTTCCGGCAGCCACACCGAAGTCAGTAGTAGTTAGAGGGAGTTTGGGGTGGTCACAATAACTGAAAAATAAACTTCATATTTCATGTTAGTAAAGCAGACATCTGTGTCTCAAGTTTGCCTTTTATTTGAAATGAACCACAGTAAACTGGATATACTTCATTAGTGTCTTACCATTTTTTCTCCAACACCCATCTTTCTGCAAAGTCGGGGTCACTGCCTAACTATGAATTCTTCACTGACCACCCTGCCAGGTTCATGCCTCCATCCCTCCCCCTGGTAAAAGGCTCAGCAAGACAACGAAATGCTGGAGTGACTAAAATCCTTCGAATCTTTGCAGATTTCTCCCCTCGCTGGCTCATTTTCTTATTTGACCTGTGAGGACCCCTCCCTTCCCATTGGATGGCCAGCCCCCTGAAGTGAGACTAGGTACTCTGATTTCCCACATTGCCAGCAGAGAGTAAACCTACTAATCGGCAGTTTCTGAACACCTTGAGGGAAGGGCTGTTTTCAAAAAGTTGGTTTGCATAAACAAATAACAAGCGACGGTGGTGACTATCTCTTGCTTGTTTTTAATCCATCATGAGCTGCTCCTAACAGAACCGTCACCTATTCTGTATTGTTAATAAATGTTATTATTTTCCCCCATGAACCCAGGCCTGAGCAGATTGGAGCCTGAAAACTTTCAAGATCGCTGCACGCTCAGGCACAAAGCAGGAGGGCCCTTCAGGAAACAATTTCCCAGGAATCTGTGCAGGTTATTGTATACAGGCACACGATCAGGGCCTACTTCAAGGGCTTTAAGACTGCAGGAAAATTAATCGGACCGAACCGCCAAATCTGGCCCTGACACAATCTCTGTGGCGTCTCACTTGAACTTTCTTCATGGGCTTTGCCACAGTGGGATCCAGCGGATATTCAGGCTAGAAACCTGAAAGGGGCGGTGCCTCTCCTTTGACTCTAGCAAAAGGACACTAGAAACTCAAACACTTTGAAAGGACTGAGCTGGCGTCTTCTGACAGTAGTCCATCGAAGGCCTTCCGCAGGCAACCTTAGGTTCCCCCAGACTAGGGGCAGAATGCTGGGGGAATCGGTGCCACCTCAACCTCCCGCAGGGTGGCACCGGGAAGAGTAGGTTAAATGGATAAGACGAGGCGCACTCCTTCTGCTCCGAAGCCGCCGGCGAACTGGCCTAAAATAAAAAGGTCTCTGTCTGCAATCCCCGTTTGCTTGCCCGGTAATCCACCCCCGCCCCCAGCCCGCGCGCCGACTCGTACAGCTGTTTTTAATCCCTACTTTTCTCACTTGGCGTCCGGGCTGGGGCTGACCAGACGCGGAGCCACTTAGGGTTTCCTCCTCCCCCAGCCAGGGTCTGTCCTGCCTCCACCGTCTCCTCTTTCTCCTCCTGCATCCCCCGGGGGGCAGAGTGTGGGAAGAACGAATTTCCGCCGGGTTTGCTCGCTCCTTGCCGACGTGGGTCCCTTCCGGACGCAGCCTGCGCGGCCCCCAAGCTGCCCACTCCGACCGCGCTCCGAATCCCCCCGGACCGCCGAACGAGCAGGCGCCGGAGACGCAGGCCTAGCGGCCGGTGCTCAGCAGCCAAGCCGCACCCCAGCAGCTCTTGGAAGGGATCCCGCCTGCAGTGGGGGAATCCGCTTGGCGGGGAGAATCCGCGCCAGGGAATCCAGCTCTCCGGAGTCCAGAGCAAACAAAAAGCACCAACTCTTGCTCGCTCCTCCCGCCCCCGACGCGCATCCGAAGGAACAGTTTTCTGCAGAAATGCAACAAGTAGCACCCGGGAGTCGCCGAGCGCCCAGCGTCTCCTGATTTGGCTTCCCGAAGCCCGCCTGCGGAGACCGGGGCCAGTTACCCGGACAAAGGGCGGAGAAAGAACTGGACCGAGCAGCAAAGAAGTCCCAAAGAGGCCTTTTAGCGACTCTGGCCCGGCTGAGGGGAATGCAGAAGAGACACCGATCTGGCCGGCCCAGAGGACCATCCGGCCGCAGGGCGCTGGGCGGGCGGCGATGGAGGGTGTCGGCGCCGTGCGCTTCTGGCTCATGGTGTGCGGGTGCCTGGCGTTCCCGCCGCGGGCCGAGTCCGTGTGCCCCGAGCGCTGCGACTGCCAGCACCCCCAGCATCTCCTGTGCACCAACAGGGGGCTCCGCGCGGTGCCCAAGACCAGTTCGCTGCCTAGTCCCCAGGACGTGCTCACCTATAGCTTAGGCGGCAACTTCATAACTAACATCACGGCCTTCGACTTCCACCGCCTGGGGCAGCTCAAACGGCTGGACCTGCAGTATAACCAGATTCGCTCCCTCCACCCCAAGACCTTCGAGAAGCTCTCGCGCCTGGAGGAGCTGTACCTGGGGAACAACCTCTTGCAGGCGTTCGCTCCTGGCACGTTGGCTCCCCTACGCAAGTTGCGCATCCTTTACGCCAACGGTAACGAGATTGGCCGCCTTAGCCGCGGCTCCTTCGAGGGCCTGGAGAGTCTAGTCAAGCTACGGCTGGACGGGAACGTGCTGGGGGCACTGCCAGACGCAGTCTTCGCTCCCCTGGGCAACCTGCTCTATCTACATCTGGAGTCTAACCGGATCCGCTTTTTGGGCAAGAATGCCTTCACTCAGCTGGGCAAGCTTCGATTCCTCAACCTCTCTGCCAACGAGCTGCAACCTTCCCTGCGCCATGCGGCCACCTTCGTCCCGCTGCGCTCCCTCTCCACTCTCATCCTCTCCTCCAACAACCTGCAGCACCTCGGCCCCCGCGTCTTCCAGCACCTGCCACGCCTTGGCCTGCTCTCCCTCAGTGGCAACCAGCTCACACAGCTTGCACCAGAGGCCTTTTGGGGCCTGGAGGCCCTGCGCGAACTGCACCTGGAAGGCAACCGGCTGAGCCAGCTTCCCCTGGCACTGCTCGAGCCTCTGCACAGCTTGGAGGCGCTAGATTTGAGCGGCAATGAGCTGTCTGCTCTGCATCCCGCTACCTTTGGCCACCAGGTTCGGCTACGTGAGCTCAGCCTGCGCGACAACGCTCTCAGAGCCCTTTCTGGAGACATCTTCGCTGCCAGCCCGGCTCTCTACCGCCTAGATCTAGACGGCAACGGGTGGACCTGCGATTGCCGGTTGCGGGGTCTGAAGCGCTGGATGGGCGACTGGCATTCCCAGGGACGCCTTCTTACCGTCTTCGTGCAGTGTCGCCACCCCCCGGCCTTGCGGGGCAAGTACTTGGATTACCTGGATGACCAACTTCTGCAGAATGGGTCTTGTGTGGATCCCTCACCTTCGCCTACAGCAGGCAGTAGGCAGTGGTCTCTAGCCACAGCTACGGGGGAGGGGATGACGCCCCCTGCAGGGGGTCTCGCGCAGGAGCTACCACCGCAGCCCCAGCCCCAGCAGCGGGGGAGACTTTTACCAGGAGTGGCCTGGGGCGGGGCTGCCAAAGAGCTCATGGGCAACCGCAGCTCACTAAGGTTGAACCGGCGAGGTCCAAGCCTGCAGCGTCAGGGCCCCTCTACCGCTGCTGCTTCGGGTCCTGCCTCACAGTCCCTGGACCTGCAAGAGAAGCCTGAGCGAGGTCGTCCCACTCATGCCAATCTTGCCCAGGCTGAGCCCACCCCGACGGCGGAGCCCGCCTCAGGGACACCATCTGCCCGAGACAGCTGGCAGCGCGCAGCAAAGCAGCGCCTAGCCTCGGAGCAGCAAGAGCGCGTAGTCGCGTCCGACAGTGGGGTCGGCTTGCCACCGCTAGTATCCGACCCCTGTGACTTCAACAAGTTCGTTCTGTGCAACCTGACAGTGGAGACGGTGAGCGCCAACAGCGCCTCGGTGCGCTGGGCGGTTCGCGAGCACCGCAGTCCCCGGCCGCAGGGCGGCGCACGTTTCCGCCTGCTCTTTGACCGCTTTGGCCAGCAGCCCAAGTTCCAGCGCTTCGTCTACCTGCCGGAGCACAGCGACTCGGCCACGCTGCACGAGCTGCGTGGAGACACTCCTTACCTCGTGTGCGTGGAGGGCGTGCTCGGGGGCAGAGTTTGCCCCGTGGCCCCCCGGGACCACTGTGCGGGCTTGGTAACCCTGCCAGAGACAGGAGGTCGAGGCGGCGTCAACTACCAGCTCCTGACCTTGGTCTTGCTGGCTGTCAATGCGCTGCTGGTGCTCCTGGCTCTGGCGGCCTGGGGATCACGGTGGCTGCGGAGGAAGCTGCGTGCCAGGCGGAAGGGAGGGGCTCCGGTCCACGTTCGCCACATGTACTCCACCCGACGGCCACTGCGCTCCATGGGCACTGGTGTGTCCGCGGACTTCTCGGGCTTCCAGTCGCACCGGCCTCGCACCACCGTGTGCGCACTCAGCGAGGCGGACCTCATTGAGTTTCCCTGTGACCGCTTCATGGACAGCACCGGCGGTGGGGCCGGTGGCAGCTTGAGGCGGGAGGACCACCTCTTGCAAAGATTTGCTGACTAAGTTTAGTGCCTCCACGCGGAAACCATCTCAATGACCCTGAGGAGCCTCTCTCCGTGACTCCATGCCATCTCAGAGGAAGACCTTCTCTTTCTAGACCTTTCTTCCTTTGTGCATTTGCTGAAGCCAAATGGCACAGAAAGTGAATCCGACACCACCCTTCACATCCCAGTATTCACAAAGCAAATGGATGGGTGTTGGTTGTCAAACCCAAGAGCAGGGACAAGTGAACGCTGGTGTAAAGGTGGGAACCCTTGGCATATCTAGGGCATGGCTCCTGTGGCATTGCAGCATAGTAGCCTGGCCGGCCTTGGGCTAGAAAGGGTGTTTATGCTCCTCCTATGACAAGGAGACTCTGGGTTGTACATTTGTTTGCTCTGTAGTAGGGTTCTGCTCCCAGTTAAGAAAAGGGGGACCTGCCACCATCACAAAGGCGTCCAGCAACTAACCCCACCGATCTGGTGGTCTTTGCTGAGATGGGCAGGGTAAATAGGTACCACACTCACCCAAGAACCCTTTTCTGTTGGCTGGTAGAGCACCCAGGAAGCCTTAAGGTTTAAAACAACCAGATGGTACCTTTTTCAACAATATGAAGAGCATTTAACAAACAGACCCATGAACTCAGACTCTTGGTTGAACTGGATCCCTTCTACTGTTTATCCTCTACAGGATGTGACCTTTTGCTGACTTTTGGGTTACTGAGGTTGTTCTCAGGAGAAGGCTGCATGTAATACTTCTCCACCAGGCTTGCTCCTGAGCTTTCAATTTTATTTTTAAAGTCTGCATATGGAAAAAAATTGAATGCCAGATTTGATTTAAAAAACGCACTATGCATGAAACTGCTGACTCCCTAGGGCACTCCGGCCTTCCAGCTCTCTTGCCACGTTTCTGATAGCTTGTCGAGATGGGAGTCAGTGTGACCTATTTCTCACTGCGTTTTGTCAGGGTCCCATCCTTCTTGACAGCACCTGGTTCTGAGTTGCATGGCTAGGCAATACGCATAAGGTAATTGTCAGGCTGGGGATTGAGTTCGGTGGTGGTGTTTGCTTACAAGGCTCTATGTCCATCCCGACACCACAAAACGAAGCGATGGGTGATGTGTGTTAGTGGTATATTTTCCGACCACATTATGATAGAAGATAAGAAGAAATTGTGGGAAACAAATGTGAAAAAAAAATACAGTAATGAGTATTTGCTTCTACTAAACCCAGAAGATCATGAGTACTTAACCCTCACTGTGAAATAGTTATATATTTTACAAATTAATTCCTTCAGTAGCCAGTGTTTTACTGTGTTATTAAATCTTATCTTTTAGTAGTAGTTGTAATGTTTATTATTATTTTTTTTTACTTTAGGATTAATCTCCTACATTTGTTTAGTTGTGTTTTTAACTGTTTGGGATACTTTTCTTCCCTGATATTTATGAAGTCTGTGTTTATATTAAATGTAGTGGTTGGGTTCACATTAATAATTCGTGTGTGGTCCAAGTACACTTACTAAGAGGGTGTACACTGTGGTTATAGCCAGCGTGGTTATGGATTTATTAGCAGTGGGGTACTGTGCAGGTCAGCCAGTTCAAGGTGCTATGGCTAACAGTGACTCTTCTGTTTCAGGCCCCGGGCCCCTGAGGGTCCCAATGACTCAGGGAATCCATCACAGTTCAGAGCCCTTCAACCCACTCACACTATGTTTGGCCTAGCCATGCCTGCCTTGTCCCAGCAGCTGAGGACCCAGGGGTCTAAATGAGCTGGTCTTTGTTTATGTCCGGATGAGTAAATGTCCAGACCACTTAAGCCACAGCTGCTTTTCTGGCAGTCTTATCTGCGGGGCCCAAACTTAATAAACCACAGGAAATAGACTGTCATTCTGTGTTTGCTGCCAGGCCTCGTTTTAGATTCCGAGCGTATGGTACATGGGAGGTGGGAGGTGGAGCTGTTTGCTCTTATTTTCAACCTGCAGGCTATCTGGCACCTTCTGTATAACTCACAGTTTTTCATGCACAGCAAGTTACATCTCTTAGTTGTTTCTTTTATGCAGTGTAAAACCGAGGCCCATTGAAAGTCTGGGGATAAAAAAAAAAATACTGATTGGATCTACCACCTGCCTTTTTCAACTGTAGAATATCACCAAAAATGGTTAAGGCCTGGATTTAAAATAGTTTTACTGAAAAGTCTTTCAGTGAGAATAAATAAATGTTATACACTGTTATGTTCAATTATGTCAATAAACCCACGCACTAATGGAGATGTCTTGTTGGAACTTCCAAATATTTTGATGCATGTTTAAAATGACAGGATGAGTTTTTCAACAGCAGTTTTCACTCATATAAATGAAATATGAACTTGATATCTATGAGGGTTCTTTTTATTATTTTCCTTTTCATAAAGAGTAAGGACTCTATCTTAAAGAAATAATTGTATACAAAAGTTTCTGTCCCACCCGGTCCCACAACCATTCAGTCCCAAAGAAATACACAGAGGCTTGTATTAATTACAAACTGTTTGGCCTATTAGCTCAGTCTTATTACTAACTAGCTCTTGCAACTTAACCCATAATTCTTATCTGTGTTTAGCCACATAGCTTGATACCTTTTCTCAATAAGGCATTTTCATCTTGCTTCCTCTGTGTCTGGCTGGTGACTGACTCTGTTTTTCCTCTTCCCAGAATTCTCCTCGTCTGGTTGCCCCCCATACTTCCTTCCTAAGTACTGACCAATCAGTGTTTTATTAAACCAGTAGGAATGACAAATCTTTACAGTGTACAAAAACATTATCCCATAGTAAATGATTGTGTGAGTTTATATGTAAAGAGACATGCACATTGCTCTAAAACTAAATGGCCAGCCCAGAGTAAAATGTTGCCAAATGCCAATGACAGTAAGGTGGCTAGGTCCTACCTAAGAGCTACACCATCTGGATTTCATGAATATAGATATACAGACTTTTTCTTTTTTACCCATTTACAGAGTTTGTGAAAAAATAAAATTCCTGAAGATAAAGAATCATCTTTTTTATTAAACTTCATCAGGCGATGAAAGGAGACAGAGACAGAGATCCACATTGGAGCACCGGACTGAAATCTCAAGGTCCAAATCAGGAGCAGAAGGAGAGAGAGCACAAGCAAGGAACTTAGGACTGGGAGGGGTGCACCCATACACTGAGACAATGGGGATCGGGAACTCACCAAGGCCAGCTGGCCTGGGTCTGAAAAAGCCTGGGTCAAAACTGGTCTCGCTGAACATAGCGGACAAGGAGGACTACTGAGACCTCAAGAACAATGGCAACGGGTTTTTGATTCTACTGGACCTAGTGGTTTTGTGGGAGCCTAGGCAGTTTCGTGGATGCTCACCTTACTAGACCTGGATGGAGGTGGGTGGTCCTTGGACTTCCCACAGGGCAGAGAACCCTGATTGCTTTTTGGGCTGACGAGGGAGGGGGGCTTGGGTTGGGGGAGGGGGAGGGAAAGGGGAGGCGGCGGTGGGGAAGAGACAGAAATGTTTAATAAATAAATAAATTAATTAAAAAAAAATTTGAATGCTCAAAAAAAAAAAAAAAAAAAAAAAGAATCATCTTTGTATGAGTTAGCAGTATTAAATCCCGAAGGCACAGTTAGGTCTGGTTCAGCGTAAACCTCACACAATGCAGGCTGCTTCTGCAAGGTGGGAAGTGCGGTCAGGGCAGCTGCATTCATTGGCCACCCCTGGTTCTCACCAAAGCCCAACAGCAATGAGCCGCTACTATGTGTGAAAGAGTCATTTAAAGCAGACATCAGACTGTTGGAAGTTTATCACTCCTGCTTCTCTTTTAAGAGTCGGAGATAAATGACAGCCAAGCGTTTGAATGCCAGAGATTTATTCAAACCTCCAGACTGTGGTCCAGGGTGAAGACCGTCACCTTCTTAAGAGAATTATAGTGTGAATGTCCATGACCAAGACACGTGATGCAGGCTCATGGCCATCAGAGGGTCATCACTGTCCCCTCCCCCCCCCCATTCTCTACGGTCATCCTCTTCCGCGTCAGTTGAGATGGACATCCTGCGTTCCGACTGTACAGAGAAACTACTGAGCAGCAACCAGTAGCGGCTTTGCCAGCACGTGCTTGAGTACATCCTTACTAGCTGGGTTCTCCCGCAGGAAACGGCACATGCGTGACGCTGCTTAGAATTTCAGGGCCTAGGCATTTCTGCCCAAACACAATTGGAAAATCCTATAATAAGATAAAAGCTATCTCTCCCTGCCCCTGCCCTCTTGGGACTCTTCAAAATTTGGTGTAGAATGATAGTAATTGAAATACTTTCTCATAATTTAAAAAGGGGGTGAGTTTAGTAGTCAGGAAATGTTTTGTGTTTGCCTCATCCTTCAGACGAAAATTTAGGGTGCAGAGGCAGCTCGATTTTTCAGTGACTCCCTTTTTTGTCCCTTCCTCCACAGCATATCCAGGATCCTTTTCCTCTCAGCTTTCTTAAACATTTACTTTTCATGCTTTTCTTCTGAGGGATTTTAGGCCATTTCATCTTTAGTAAAAGGTGGGGCAAATAATGTTCTTCATGTTGCCCAAGGAAACTGAGCCATTTGGAGATTCTGCTTAAGCATTAGTGGATTAATTATTGAAATAACTGTGAGATACTAAGTAGAAAAGCCATACTCTGGCTGCTTTATCTTGAAACAGAGTACCTGATCATCTGAGAGTGTTCCAGCCACGGGTGGTGTGATTTGTCCTTTGCACGGTACCATGGCTCTGTGATTTGACCGTGGAGACAGAAATTGGCTGTCATGTCCATCGATCCAGACCCTAGCATGGCCTGACTGTGTAATCAGGCAACATTTCTTCCAGACTGCTGAGCTGTCTGGTGCTAGCCCTGTGCCTCGGCCTGTGCTGCGACAGGGGATTACCACTGTGAACCGAGACCAACTGCAGCTGTGGAGCACTCGTTCCCCTTTCCAGATTATGGTTGCAGGTGAAGTCCTGCTCACCCTGTAGCTGACGTCACACTTAGCTCTTAGCACGTGTCCACTGTGGCATGTGAAAACTCACTTTTGCTTCAGGCCGTCGCCCTCTGAGTCCCTCATCTTCCAGTCACGTATCCTTCTGAGGATTTTCACTTTGGGAGATTAAAATACCTCTCAATAACAGCACGCACATGAACTCCTCTCAGCAAGTTAACAAAACTGCAGTGTTTGTTTCCAGCCCGAGATGTCTCCATTGGAAATATTCCCCCGTTTATATCCCTAAGCCCTGTCCTCAGACCTAACTGATGTATTACTTTCTGGTCCAAGCTTAGATACCCGTGCCAGGAAACATGTGGAGGTCAAAGGATAACTTGTAAGAATAGGTTCTATCCTGCCCCATGAGTCCCTCTCGCAGGCCCTTTTTGTGTTCTAAACTGGTAGTCACACCTCATTCAGCCAGCACACTATTGCTCTGTCCTTTCCCGGTGCTGGTGTTCGTGTAAGCGTGAGCCTATGCACGCTGCTGTGTGTTGTGTCTTTTTAGGGGCGTATGTGTGTGCAGAGAGGAAGGGGTCTGTTTCCAAGTTGTTCCTTCCACAGAGCTGCCCTGTGGTGGCCCAGGGGTGAGGCTTGGGGTGGTCCTTTCTCTTCCTCTCTCATCTCTGCCTACTTGCTAATTGCCCATTTATCAGGAAGAGCGCCACAGGCTTCTGCTGCCAAAGCCCTTGGCTTCTGTCCATTCGCTCAATGCATGTTGTTTGAATGGAGTTACACTCCGGGAAAGCTGTTTGCTTCTTGAAGGCTATGTGCTTCCTCTCTCAGCCTTCCCAGGGATTGTCACTTTTTTTCTACTTCTGAACTACTACTGAATTCACACATTCACACGCTCATTCACACTTGCATGCATACACACTCATACATACATGAGCTCACAAATACACACACATATACACACTCATATACTCATTTACCTACATTGATATACTTACACTAATACACACATGCTCATACTTTCACACACACATACATATGCACATTCACATACAGACACTAACACATGCATATGTGCACACACACACACACACACACACACACACACACAACCTCCTTTGCCTTGGCCTGGTCTCCTCTTTGCACCCTGTGCTCTTATCCCTTACCAGGGCTTTCTTCACCTAAAAGCTCATAATTTAAAATGTATCAAGAAAGTTGCCAGAATATTTCACATTTGTACTCTCTACTCAGCAGTATTCTCTGTTCATGCTCTTTCTGTTTGCTTTAAAGCTCCCTCTCTCCATCCCTGAGAGCAGTTCCAAAGCTCATATTGCTTTCCCCACAGGAACAGCTTTTAAATGACCGTAACATAACGATCATGGTCGGAATTTGTAACCCTGATTAAAAAAGAATAAAAAAAAAACAGTAAAATCAGATTTCCGTTCCTTTCCAGTTTATATTCACGTTACCTACTCTCTTAAACAAACCTCGGGCTGCACTCCTTCCTTTTCTCCTTTCTTCGCCTACTCCTCGTCCTCCTCCTGCTTTTGGCCATGGTGTACAGCACAGCAATAGAAAGCCAGTTTGGGAGCTTAGTGATTCTCAACCTCCTCAGTGCTGAGATTCTAGCATGCACCATTACGCCTGGCTTGCAAATTGATGTTGAAATGTCTCCATGCCTGCTGGTGCAAGGTCAGTAAGCATGGATAGGCATGCATCCTGTACCTTTGTTTTTAAAAAGTAGAAAGCCTTTATCATGCAGGCACGGCATATCCAGTACTCTGGAGGCAAGTGGATCTCTGCCAGTTCAAGGGAACATAGTGATACTCTGTCTCAAAATCAAAGCAAAGCAAAACACCTTTCTTCAGAATAACCTCTGCAATTTTGTTACAGACAAGAGACCCTAACTCTTTCATTACTATTCTGAAACATTGATTAATGCATTTTTTTAAGACAGGGTTTCTCTGTGCAGCCCTAGCTGTCCTGAAACTTGCTTTGCAGACCACGCTGGTCTTAAATGCACAGAGATTCACCTCTCTCTACCTCCCAGTTTCTCACCACTGCCTGGCGATTGATGCCTATTCTTGTGCCAAAATTGTAATCTTGCTTGCATGGTAAATCTTGAAATGAGGTTTTTCTATCTTTTTCTCTATTAAAGATGACTTTAACTCACTGAACATTTCCAGTGTATGCAGACGTTACAGAGAATGGGAAGCACAGGAGTGCTAAATGCTTCATGGTTAAAGCCCCTATAGATTATAATATATAAATGTACATATATATATTATTTTAATTTTTTTTTGGTTTTTCGAGACAGAGTTTCTATGTGGTTTTGGAGCCTGTCCTGGAACTAGCTCTTGTAGACCAGGCTGGTCTCGAACTCACAGAGATCTGCCTGCCTCTTCCTCCCGAGTGCTGGGATTAAAGGCGTGCGCCACCGCTGCCCGGCTTATTTTAATTTTTTTGATGTGTGTATGTGTGTGTGTGTATTATTGCTAGATAAAATATATCTGGGTGTGAGTAAGATGATTCAGCAGCTAAACTACCTGCTGCCAAGCCTGGGGATCTGAATTGGACCCCCAGGACTTACATGGTAAAAAGAAGAGAACTGACCCCTACAAATTGTTCTCCTGCCTCCATACGCACACTGTGGCACATGAGCATTTGTTCATGCGCACACACACACACACACACACACTGCATGCATGCACTAAACGTGTTTTTAAGATATAGTTTGACAAGAATGATGTTTTTGATAATTCAACTTCTTTATAAAAAAGTGACACGACTGGATAACTTATAGATGTCTTCTAGTTCTCTGGGTTGGGAGTTCCAATCAAGGCTCTGGCAGATCTAGCATTTAGGGATGGCCTACTTCATCCCATCTGTGTCCTCACTGGGTACATGGAGTAAATTAGCCAGTCTATGGCCTCTTTTATAAAGGTCCAAATTCCATTCACAGGGGCTCTGACTCAAGGCCTAAGTGTATCCTAAAGGCCTTACTTCCTAATACCATTTCCTGGGGATTATCATTTCAGTGTATGAATCTGGTATTTGGGAGAATACAAACATTATGATTGTAGTAGGTGCAGGTGATTGCATTGGAGGAAAGCTGAATGTTTTGTATATATGAGACAAGTCTCATCACATAACATGGGTTGTTCTAGAACTTGTGACTCTTCTGCCCCCCACCTCCTGAGTACTGGGATTACAGACAGGCAGCACCACCCTGGCAAGCACTGACCTCTTACTGACAGCCCTGGATCTGTGAATGCTGCCTCTCTCTCAACGGATTTATCTCCTGATAGAGATTGCCTAGGTTTTAGAAACAAACTTAAATCTATGTTGTTAGCACTATCTGTATTTCACAACTTTTGAGGCTATCATAAGTGAATTTTATTTCCACTTTTTTCTTTTTTTATTAAACTTTTTTTTACCATATAGCGCTG